TTAGTTCATTTTGTGTGACAGAGTTTTCATCTCGAAGTGTATAGCTCATTAGAAAATCTACACATGTTAGCATATTATTTTTAAATGAAATTCGAAACTTAAATTGTGTGATAAATACTCCGGACGAAGGTTGATTACCATGAATGCGATTCTTCAATAAGATAAATAAACGTTTGTCTGTCAGTGTCGGTTACAATATGCCAGTTTACAATTGCCTGATTACTCGTACGACAATAAATCCGATGCTTGGAGTGTCGTGTACCGGAAACCGGTGCCGAATACATGCACATACCGTTGTCTCCGTGAACATACGTTCATGTTGAATTGCGTGTTGATTTGAAAGGAATAACTCGTGGTGAAATATAGGAATAGGGTCATTTCACCTGAACAATCCTAAGAATATACCTGAGTCAATTTTTCGGCATAAACGTTATCAGGCATTTATGTTGCGAAATATCGAAACGATTCTCTCAATGCAGACTGCGATCGTGACATTGACATCCCAATGCTGATGTATATCACAACAAAATTCGATCGAGCTTGCACTTGACATAACTGATGCAATGATTAGGGATATTTTTTAAATCAACCATTCTGTGAACGCATGAGACAACTGTTGTTAACACAGATGTGAAGTGAGACATTTGAAGAGATACTTGCGCAACGAATCAGTGTAGTAAGAGCTTATTGCAGTGAGATGGGACGCGTATGTGATAGCAGTTTCGACGTAACAGTTGTCGACTGACTCACTGTGGCTTACTTGCAACTGCGAAGATCAAATAAAAATACCAAGGCCTTTGAACAAAATACTGCGAGAAAAAGAGACAGAACTGAGAAAGATCAACAAAAATTAGACGAAACTCTGTTCGGCGGCCATATATCCATTTCTGGTGAATGTAGTGGATTTTTAAACTAAATGGTCGATTTTCATGAATGCTTTTAGTCCGCTGAACAGTTTCCTGCAACCACCTTAGTCCTTGCGTTTTTTTGTCACATTTTTACTGATTCTTTTTTTGTCTTACTTGATTTTTCAGCATAGTCATTTTCGATCTTTCTGTTTTACTCTGACGCTAACCGTTACATGAGAGTGCTGGTCACTGGATACATTTGGTTGATTTTCTTAGTGTGAGTCCTTCGCACTTGCATTACTTCCCACTGATTTCCTCCTCCGCCTAAAGATGGTTTGTTCTCCTACACAGTCGGTTGTTGCTGATGGTATTTTGATGAGGTATCCTTCTTTCCAACCTTATGGTACATGTTCCTCATCACAAAATTTTTTTGGAGAGAATGTGAAATGTTTTCACAGTTGCTTCCACGTTCGTTTTCATTGCCTCTGCTGGAATGTTGTTTGGTCCTGCTGATTTGTCGCACTTGATTTTTCTGATGGCCATACTGATCGCATCGATTGTAGGTGCGCCAATATAAGTTGGGAGGTCTGTGGATTCTGCTTCGGTGTTGTGTGGGTTCAGCGGAGCTGGTCGATTCAGGAGTTACTCAAAGTGCTCTATCCACCTATTTCGCTGTTCTTCAGTGTTGCTGATTACTTTCCCTTCCTTGCTTTTCAATGGTCATTCTGGCTGACGATAATTTCCAGCGAGCGTCTTTGTTGTTACATAGAGGTGTCTCAAGTTCCCTTCTCTTGCAGCCTTTTGCGCCGTCATTTCTAGATCTTCCGCATGTTTTCGTTTGTCAACTCTGATGCTCTTCTTCACTTCTTTGTTTGCTTCTGTGTAAGCAGCTTGTGCGGCAACTTTCTCTGCTCTTGTTCGGCTGACATTGATTGCTGCATTCTTGTTCCTGCTTTCTCCAATTTTTGCAAGAGTATCAACAGAGATCCATTTCTTGTGATGGTACTTCTTGTGACCCAGAACTTTGTGACATGTTGAAGTGATTGCCTCCTTGATCCCTTTCCGATTGTTTTCAATGTTGCTTCCTCTTCATTGAAAATATCCTACAAGGCCTGGAACCTACTGGTGAGGGCTATCTGGAATTTGTTGAGTTTTACGATATCTCGAAGAAAGCCTGCATTAAACTTCTATGATGTTGTCTGCCCCATTATCCTGTGCTTTCTTAGTTCTAGTTTCATTTGGGCGTCCAGCACGTGCTGATCTGAGGCTATAACAGTTACTCTCTTGGGTCTCACGTCTTACATGATACTTCTAAGCAAATTCATAAAGATATGGTCGACTTGGTTCTGTGTAGTGTGGTTCGGTGAAATTCACATGGCTGTGTGTATAAGTTTGTGTAAGAATGTGGCGTCACCGATTACCACCTTGTTGAAAGCACATAGGTTTGCAAATCTCTCACGGTTTTGGCTGGTTTTTTCAAGTCTATGCCGTCCAATAATGTCTTCATATCCAGTGTTGTCCTTGTCTCCCATTGGAATCGTCAAATCTTTCGGTGAGTATCTGTCGACGATTGACTGCAGCCTTTCGTAAAATCGATCTTTAACGTCGTCATTGTAGTCATAGTTAGGCGCATAGCATTGGATGATGTTGATTGTAATGTCCTCTTTCTTTGTTTTGAAGGATGCTTAAATGATTGTGGGTCCATTAGATTCCCATCCTATCAGTGCCTTTTGTGCATGTTTGGACAGCATCAGTGCAACTCCTTGTGTATGTGAAGCATTTTCTTCTCCATGTCCAGAGTATAACAACAGTTCCCTGAAGCTAGTCTCGGTTTTCCTATCTGTGTCCAATGCGTTTCACTGATGCCGAGCACCTCGACGTTGTATCTTTTCATTTCTGCAGCAAATAGAAATAGTCTCACAGTCACTCACAATGGTTGAACTTCCGAAGTATTTAGAAGTATGGTTGCTCTCGTTGTCTGAGGATGGAGCGGCCTCGTGACTTCATCGCGTGACGTCATAATTCTTTTTCCATCTCTCAGTACAGAGTTAAATAGGTTTGATTCATTTGTTCTGGTTAGCATTTTATTCGCGACTTAGATTTTGGTGGTATAGGGTCGCCAAAATAAAGCCAAACCCTCCGATTTATCCGGACTTCAGACCGACAGAAGCCCCGAAGAGTAAGCAGGCAGAGTTAAGTCAACTAAGTGAGTGTGGTTTATTTTCTGTTAGCTAGATAGGTGTTCTTCTGAATGCCTGGCCTTCAAATCAACACTTGAAAATATAATTATTTCTCTAGCAAATCGTATCTTTAATGTATCAAAAACCTTGTACAGTATATTTCAAGTACTCCTTTAAATTCCCTGGCTTGCTCTGAATTTTTTCTGTCCTGTCTCTATTAGCTTGTACAATTGCGGGCTCAAGTAATGAGTATTGTATTCGCAGTAATATCTGAAAGTCAATCTAATACTAATAAGACACAAGGAACTTCAAATGACATACACACCACCAACTCTGAATTCGCTGATGGATCTGTTGAATCATCGCATTTGAAAAATACATTGACCAGTGAAGACCTAAATGAAAATGACGAGATATTAGATCGTGTACGATTTCTAGCCGACGATTACAAACGTTTACAACATGAAGTAGAAGGGAATATTTCGGCACAAGAGAAAATAACTCCACGAAACGAAGAATTCCAAAAGGAGTTAGATCAGTTCATAGATGTTTATGCAGAAGCACAAGTATGCACTGTTTGAATTTTGGTGGTTATTGATTGACTCATTGACTGATTTATTGATAGCCTGATTCACTGATTGATCAATATGTTACCGTCGATAGTCATTTCGGTATTTTGAATTATTAGAGAGGTTTTTCAGCTTAACATCAGTATGTTGAAAGCGCTGCGCTTTTTCAGCTGAATGGTTTAATTGTGATCAGGAACGTTTATATGTTTTTGTATTATTTACAATGTATCCTTCACACAATCTTTCTGACGTAGAAATTCGCAGTCGGTTACTGCTGTGATAAATCGCTTCAATGCCCACTAAATGTTTATGGTTCGGAAAATATGTTTTCGATGCTTACTTTCATATTATCGCATTACATACCCTTTGTTCGATCATTCTTAATCACCTGTTTTATCTTCACATACCAGTGGACTACATTTGTGTTGAATAGGTTTGACCATTGTGTATCATTTTATTCACTATGAATATTTATTCACAATTTTTTCATTCGGCAGTTTTTATCATGTTAAGATGAGATTTTGAGACCTCTCACGCCGAAATTACTCGTCTTAGGTGATATATAACAATTCGGCAACTATATGAATGAAGGTGATAAGATTCACACATCAAAATAAGGAGAAACTACTAGTTTTACACAATCACTAACGTCCTATTACTGAATGGATTTTATTTCTAGACCCAGATGAATTATGTTATCAAGTGCGTTGAGTAATTGTCGAACCCTTCTCATGAAGGTACGGTGTAACTTTTGACAGAAACATATTGAAAACAAGCGTTATTTAGTGTTAACAGATCATTCGACCTGAATTCATGAATACGAAAAACCAGACTGATTCAAGCAGTTTGTGAGTAGCTGGGTAGAGAACTTATAGTGTAGTGTTAAAATATGTTGCGTCAGTTTTGATAAAATCAGGTTGTAAAATGGAGCGTCATTTAAATTTTACTGATCATTCGATCTACTACAAAGATTTTAATACAATTTAACATATTGTGTCACAGTGAAGAGAAGAAAGCATTTTATATTGAATAACTATTATCAATTTTCAGTTAACGGTAGGGTTAATTTACTTATACACAACCCCCAATCAACCATGTCCACATAAGGAAGATTTTCAATAATAGTAATATCCACTGAAGTTGACTGCAGTCGGGATTTGTCCATCTCTGTTCACGTCTACCACTTTTGCAGTGATATTACTTTCTCTTTGCTAAAACAAATGTTTCACATCATGGAATAAACAGTCTCCACTACACACTATCAGCGTATCATCAACTCATTTGTGAACCACATACCGAACGAGACTGATAAATCCAGTTTCGAGTATTATTCACTCACTTATTATCACACATCCTCACAGTTACTAACAAATTCTTCATCGATTGATTTCATTCCACCTTAGCAAAACATGAAAGATACACAAGGATTTCGTTCATCATCACGACTGAAACAACAGATTGAATCACTCAATGCCTATGTTCCGACAAGTGAAAGTTTGAAACGATTTCATCGTATCTTGTTGGATGATTTGCAAGATCAGGTGAACACACAACAACGTCTTGAAGACAGTGCACAAGAGGCTGTTGGAACAATACAGTCACAGGATACTGGTAGGTTATAACAGACTGTGACAATTGACTTGTCAAATATGAAATACTTGTCATTGACTAACACAGGAGGTTGACAGTTTTCTCGTTCACCTCCTATGTTCCAACTTTCACAGCCCTCGGTGAAGCAATTATTTTTCATGAGAGTTCCGCTTCCTTCCACCTGTTTTCTTCACAAACAATCTTTTCCCACTCTATGAATTTTCTGAATGGTGTGGTTCACGTTTGTTTGAGACAACTCACACAAAACGTGTATTTTAATAAGTAGTTTAGATTTGTTACACTTTTCGGAGTCAACGGAACACAGAATAATCCATTGGTATGCTTCTAGTTTATCTGTTCAATAATAATTCTGTACTTACTTAGTTACATACTTGGGGACTGATTGGCTGTTTCAATCACACATAGTAATGGTGTTTTCCTGGCTTACTGCCTCATGATCAGATAGGATGATTTATCACCAGATATAAGTGGACTGAATCGGTCATGGAAAGAACAAGAGACCACACAATCACGTCATTATCAAAGACCAACACAAGATGCTGACAGTGTGCTGGTGTACATCCTCAGTTCCAGTATTCATATCCCCCAGTAAAACAATTGGTTCTCTAAAAAGTTCCGTTCCATTCCACACGATTTCGTCACAAACAATCTTTACCACTTTATGAATGTGCTGAGTGAAACAGTTCACGTTTGTTTGATACAACGCACACGAAACGTGAACTCCGCCAGTAGAACCTTCGGGGCTACTGCCGGTCCCAAGCCCGGATAAAGGAGGAGGGTTGGACATGGGGTTGGCGACCCCATTTCGTCAAAAACTAACTTGCCAAAAAAACGCTAACCAGAAAAAATAATTCAAACCATTTTAACTCTGCCCTGGGAGTTGGAAGAAGAATTATGACGTCTCATGATGAAAACCGAGTTCCCTCGGAAGTCACGGGGCTGATGCCTCTTCTGACAACCAGAGCAACCATTCTTTTAGGTACATGGAACGTCCGTACATTGTGGGAAACTGGAAGACTATTTCAAGTTGCGACAGAAATGAAACGATACAACCTTGAGGTGCTTGGAATCAGTGAAACGCATTGGACACAAGTAGGACAACTGAGACTAGCTTCAGGGGAAATGCTGTTATACTCTGGTCATGAAAAAAAAACGCTTCACATACACAAGGGGTTGCACTGATGCTGTCCAAACATGCACAAAAGGCACTGATAGGATGGGAATCTCATGGACCCAGGATCTTTAAAGCATTCTTCAAAACAAAGAAAGAGGACATAACAATGATCGTCATCCAATGTTATGCACCTACTAATCACTACAATGACGACGTTAAAGATCAGTTCTACGAAAGACTACAATCAATCATCGGGAAATTTTCACCAAAGGATTTGAGGATTCTTATGGGAGACCTGAATGTCAAGGTTCGAATGGACAACACTGGATATGAAGACATCATGGGACGACATGGACTGGGAGAAAGAAACGAAAACGGTGAGAGATTTGCAAACCTATGTGCCTTCAACAAACTGGTCATCGGTGGCACAATATTCCCGCACAAACGCATACACAAAGCTACATGGATTTCACCGGACCGCACTACTCAAAACCAGATTGATCATATCTGTATCAACAAAACGTTCAGAAGGACTATGGAGGATGTGAGAACCAGGAGAGGAGCTGATATAGCCTCAGATCACCATTTGCTAATCGCCAAAATGAAACTGAAACTAAAGAAGCACTGGACAACGGGACAGACAACATCACAACATCACACGGCCTGAGAAAATAGTTAACATCATACGGAATTCTTATGATGGATTCAACTGCAAAATCGTACACGATGGACAGCTAACAGTCTCCTTTGAGGTGAATACCGGTGTCAGGCAAGGTTGCTTACTCTCACGGTTTCTTTTTCTTCTGGTCGTCGACTGGATTATGAAGACTTCGACGTCTGGAGCGAAGCACGGTATCAACTGGACAGTTAGGACGCAGCTGGACGATCCGAACTACGCAGACGACCTGGCTCTACTATCGCACACTCAACAACAAATGCAAGAGGAGACGACCAGTGTAGCAGCAGCCTCTGCAGCAGCAGTAGGTCTCAACATACATAAAGGAAACAGCAAAATTCTCCGATGCAACACAACATGCACCAACCAAATCACTCTCGATGGAGTTGCCTTGGAGTACGTTAACACCTTTACATATCTGGGCAGCATCATCGACAACGAAGGTGGATCTGATGCAGATGTGAGGGCGCGGATTGGCAAAGCAAGGGCTGCATTTCTACAGTTGAAAAATATCTGGACTCCAAACAACAACCAACCAAAACCAAAATCACGATTTTCAATACAAATGTGAAGACAGTTCTACTGTATGGAGCGGAAACATGGAGAACAACGAAAGCCACCATCCAGAAGATACAAGTGTTTACTAACATCTGTCTACCCAAAATACTTCGGATTCGTTGGCCAGACACCATCAGCAACAACGAACTGTGGGAGAGCACAAGTCAGATTACAGTGGAGGAGGAAATCAGGAAGAAGCGGTGGAAGTGGATAGAACACACACTACGAAAAGCACCTAACTGCGTCAAAAGACAAGCCCTCACATGGAACCCTCGAGGCAAAAGGAAAAGAGGAAGGTCAAAGAATACATTACGCCGAGAAATAGAGAAAGACATGAGGTGAATGAACAAACATTGGACAGAACTGGAGAGGGAAGCCCAGGACAGAGTTGGTTGAAAAAACTGGTGTGTGGCCTATGCTCGATTGAGAGTAACAGGCGCAAGTAAGTAAGTAAGTAACACGAAACGTGCATTGTACTGCGTAATTTTAAATTTGTCACTTCGTAGTTAGCGAAATCTACACAGTGTGTTCAGTCCGCATGACGAGCTACGTAAAATGATGTGCTGAACACATTGACTAAGTTCGTTATTCGCTCGCTCAAGAACACATCATTTATTTTAGGACTAGATGCTTATTATCAGTTATTAACTATAGTTCTTATACACTAAGCCAGTAAATTAAAACCTTCAAACACCTTCTGTAGGCTGTGAGATTTCCGAGGTAAAAGGGTGACTAACCGGCCTAAATAGTTTATCGTCAATGCTTATCGAAGCCGTTTGCACTAATCTATATCAAAACAACGTTTCCGTACTTAGCGATTCTCACCATGTTGATTGTGACAGTTGAAGCAATGCGTATCTTATCGAACTGACCATCATCCCATTGAATACTATCAACTGATCATAGACTACTACATCAATGTTTGTACTCTTGTTCACAGATGCAGATAAAATACAGCAAGCTGTCGACGAGGTTGTGCGTGTGGAACGAATGAAACAAGAACAACTTCTATCCGACAAAGAAACAATTATTGAACAACTTGAAAACCAGCTGCGTGAAACTCGCCAAGTTAGTTCATTTTGTGTGACAGAGTTTTCATCTCGAAGTGTATAGCTCATTAGAAAATCTACACATGTTAGCATATTATTTTTAAATGAAATTCGAAACTTAAATTGTGTGATAAATACTCCGGACGAAGGTTGATTACCATGAATGCGATTCTTCAATAAGATAAATAAACGTTTGTCTGTCAGTGTCAGTTACAATATGCCAGTTTACAATTGCCTGATTACTCGTACGACAATAAATCCGATGCTTGGAGTGTCGTGTACCGGAAACCGGTGCCGAATACATGCACATACCGTTGTCTCCGTGAACATACGTTCATGTTCAATTGCGTGTTGATTTGAAAGGAATAACTCGTGGTGAAATATAGGAATAGGGTCATTTCACCTGAACAATCCTAAGAATATACCTGAGTCAATTTTTCGGCATAAACGTTATCAGGCATTTATGTTGCGAAATATCGAAACGATTCTCTCAATGCAGACTGCGATCGTGACATTGACATCCCAATGCCGATGTATATCACAACAAAATTCGATCGAGCTTGCACTTGACATAACTGATGCAATGATTAGGGATATTTTTTAAATCAACCATTCTGTGAACGCATGAGACAACTGTTGTTAACACAGATGTGAAGTGAGACATTTGAAGAGATACTTGCGCAACGAATCAGTGTAGTAAGAGCTTATTGCAGTGAGATGGGACGCGTATGTGATAGCAGTTTCGACGTAACAATTATTGGCTGATGCCATGTGAACATACGTCGAACCGCGGAGGTCAAATTAAGATCGTTTCGCCTGTGAACAAAATACTGCGAGAACTGAAGTCAAACATGAGAAAGATCAACAGAAAGTAGGCGGAACTCGAAAGGATAGCTCAGGAAACAGTAGGTTCTAGTATTCCGTTCGGCGGCCATATCTCCTTTTCGAATGAAAGGCTTAGGTTAGTATAGAATTGTGTTGTGATATACTGGCTTCTATTATAGATGAGTGGGATTGTGATCATTTGTCTAACAACTCGTTACATCAATAAATCTAAATCCTTGTCATGTATGGTTCAAATATGCCTACAAAATCACTGGTTTACTATGAACAATTTTCTGTTTTCTTCTCATTATTAGCTTGTACGATTGCGTGCTCAAGTAATGCGTATTGTATTCGCTGTAATTTCTGAAAATCAATTCAATGCTAATAAAGCACTAGGAACACCGAATGACATACACACCACCAACTCTGAATTCGCTGATGGATCTGTTGAATCATCGCATTTGAAAAATACATTGACCAGTGAAGACCTAAATAAAAATGACGAGATATTAGATCGTGTACGATTTCTAGCCGACGATTACAAACGTTTACAACATGAAGTAGAAGGGAATATTTCGGCACAAGAGAAAATAACTCCACGAAACGAAGAATTCCAAAAGGAGTTAGATCAGTTCATAGATGTTTATGCAGAAGCACAAGTATGCACTGTTTGAATTTTGGTGGTTATTGATTGACTCATTGACTGATTTATTGATTATTCGACTGGCCATCAATAGTCACTTCAATGTTATGAATTAACCGTAAGATTTTTGGGCCT